CTAACTTGTTAGGAAGTATAATTTGGTGTAATATAGGAGTATAAGGTATCTGTATCTGGGAAATTTTGTTTTGGAAATTTTCTTCAAAGGATAAAAATGATTGCTACTTTTCACATTACTAACAGACATAAAATTTTAATGAGCTCCCCTAAATCAAGTATGAAAACTGGAAGAGAACACAAGAACCATACTTTTAGGATTAAAATGATAACCACGTAGGAAGTCTCCTTTTGGTAGGTCTCTTATCTTTCTTTTTTTTGTTTATTTTTGTTTTGCTGTTTTTTTTTTTCCCCTTCTCAGGTTCCATTTGTGTGTGGTTGATGTGGAAAGGTGGAATTTGGATTTTTTCTTTCACTATTTTTAAACCTAGATTTTATGTATAAATCTATAAATAATGTAGCACTATTTTATAATAAAGTGAAAACTTCTGGTTAGTTTATTACTACAGTCTTCCAGATTATACAGAATGGTATTTTTGTTATGTGTCCTTTGCCTATAGAGGTTTGTGGAAACTTGGGGAAGATGCAGCTTTCAGAATCTAGTTAAAGCTGAAGGAGGAAACTGTTCTCCTTATTTTCTTCTTTACACTGGAAGAATTAGTAGCAGTTGTAATTGACTCTAGCCACACGGTAGCTGTCATCCATGCCTCAAATCAGTCATTTGTTCTTCATACGTATACGAGCACATCCGTAAACATTTGCCTGAAAAAGTTTAATCATACTTTTGAAAAAATATTATTAGTAGGATTTATTTGAATTTATTTACATGAAATGCTATTTTAAAAATGAGCCATAATTTCAGTATCAGAATACAGAATGTCTAAGTCAGATCCTCACCTCTGCCTCGTCAGAAATACTAAAGCTCATCTCTAAATCCTTTATTAGGAAAGATAATCTATAACCCATTTGTGTATTTAAAAAAATAATGTTATAAGTACAGGCAGTTTGAGAGTTGTTTTGTTTTCTTTGGTAACGTGAAGGATTCGTGAATTATTGGTGAAGGTGAAGCCATAGCTCTAAGTGTAATAAACAGTACCCGGACGGAACACTGTCTCTGCTAGACATGTTTCTTATAACTAGTAAATTACTATGTGCTAGGTGTTTTTGTGCCTATATTTAAAAACATTCACCTTTCTACCTGATATGTCCTTGAAGCTTTACTATTTTGTGTCTAGAAATAGTCCAATCCTTCTACTCTTTTTGGAATGTTGTCTCAGGTTCAGTTAAACTTTAAAATTTGAGTATGCTGGTAAAGGAAATTAATTTGTATGTTAAATGAAAGTGTAAAGACCCATATGCATTTGTTAGAGGTATGTGGTCCATTTGCATTTGTAGAAGTTATTTATAAATTTAGAGGTCTAATTTTTCTCTATAATGATTCTTTGTAGTATTCCCTAAGTGGAAGCAGTTATACTTGTTCAGATCTGCATTACAAGGGAAAAGACTTTCTTTCCTAGAATAAGGTGGCTTATTTAAGATCTTCAGAAGGGCCCCTAAAAAGTACCTTTCAGGGGCTTCCCTGGTGGCGCAGTGGTTGGGAGTCCGCCTGCTGATGCGGGGGACGCGGGTTCGTGCCCTGGTCCGGGAGGATCCCACATGCCGCAGAGCAGCTAGGCCCGTGAGCCATGGCCGCTGGGCCTGCGCGTCTGGAGCCTGTGCTCTGCAACGGGAGAGGCCACAACAGTGAGAGGCCTGCGTACCTCAAAAAAAACCAAAAAAAAAGTACCTTTCAGTTAGAGGACAGTTGGTTTGGTTTATTCATTAAAGGCAAAAGTGTTTGTTTGTTTTTTTTTTTTCTGTTTGAGTTTTGCTTTTTTTTTTGGCACTTGGGGAAAAGAATCATGTATTTTGTAACATGAAGCTACAGTTACTTTTGGTTATCCAATTTAGTAAAACAAGAACCATCATATTGATATAGAAGGTGCCATGGGCACATATTTTTCCTGTAACTGTTTCTGTGCAGGTTTCTCTTCTAGTCCTGGGGTTCTTGTGATTAACATATTTAGTTTGTCAAGTTTGGGTTCATATTCAAAGTTGGTAGGTGGAACAGCTGACAAAACAATTGTTTCTTATGTTTCTCACCTACTTAGTAAGTGTTTTTTGAGGCCCGTAATAGGTGATGGAGATACAATTAAAATTCAGAGGAAGTGTTCAAAGAGATACCAGGAAAACCAGGAGAATATTCCAAAGGGAAGTTTGTGTTAAGAGAAATATTTGAAGCTCCTGTTTACAGGTGATAGAGTTAGAAGGGTAGTAGTTCAGTGTTTTCAGTTTATGTGGCTGTTGAAGTATACACACACACATACACATATACACACACATACACACACATATATACATACACATATACACACGCATATAAAGGAAATACTGAGATATTTTACATTTTCATACTAAATATTTGAGATCTTGTGTGATTTTTATCCTTTCAGCACATCTCAGTGTGGACGAGCCACATTTTAGGGGCTCGTATCCACATGTGGCTAGTGGCTACCATCTTGGATAGTGTGGTTTGATTGTCCTGTCTCACCTTTCAGATCATGGCTTAATCATTTCTCAGGGAGCCTTTCTCTCACTCCCCAGCGCTGTCCGTTTCCTTGCATCCTCAGTCTTATTTATGGAGTCATATACCTTTAGAGCATTTATCACACTTGTAAATTAATCTTTAATTACTGAGATTGTTGTCTATTCCACTAGATGCAGGCCTGAGTGTTTCCTGTTGTATTTCCAGCCGACACACAACTGGTGCTCCAGAAGCAGTATTTGGAATGAATTGTCCTAATCGCTAGTGTCAGGCCACTTGGCTAGAGTCACACATTTGATTTTAGAATCAGACACTAAACTCCTTCTAATTCATTTTGCTGGGATGAGAGTATATAAAAATATCACGAATATGAGAAGTGGTTTTAATTGTAAGTTGTTTACTTGTAATGATGTTTTGCTAGATAATAGTTCTGTGAGCTATCATGTATTTTTAACTAGTAGGAAACTTTTAAACTATAAGCATATTTTTAAGTTGATTTAACAGACTTAATGGTAAAAGAGGTTTAATAATTCAGATTTTTAAATTTAAATTCCCTGCTCACGTTCATCCTGAAAATTTTAAGACTGGCTTAAATTATTGTAAAATTAAGTTATTTAAAATGAAATTTTATAAGCATGAGGGTTTTTAGATTGAAAATACTGGTCTTGTTTCTTTTTAAAGGACGCTTATCTTGAGTTTGATGAGATAATTAAACCACGTGATCCGTATTATTTAGTTATTTGAAAGCCAGATTTTGGACAAGCCTAGGTTGTGTTGAGTGTAAGAGAGGAATTAAACATTGTCCGTTACATAGGTAAGTTCACACTTTTGTGTGTATTATGCAAGTAGAAAGAATGAGACACGATTAAGGAGTTGGGTAAGATTTCATTGTGTATCTCATATCTGAGCTGTGTCTCCAAGTGATGCTAGGCGTTTATCAAGAAGAGAGGGAAGGGCCTTTCAGTCAAAGGAACAGCACAGACACATACAGGAGACTTTGTAATATTTCCTCTAAGTGATGAGAAGCCAACAATTCAACCTGTGGCTGCAGTGCAGTGTGTGGGGGGTAGGGGGCAGAGCCAGGGAGTGAGTCTGGAAGTGGGGACATCCAGGTAGAACCGTAAGGAGCCCCACATGGCCCTCTAAGGGGCGTGGACCTGTGCTGAGCAGCCCTGCGGGAAGCGGTGGAGGGAGGGGAGAGCCAGAAGGCGTGAGCGCCGGCGCGCAGGTGCCGCAGAAGGAGCGGTGGCGCGGGGCCGGCCCTGTGTGGAGCCCCGTGTGGAGAGGAGGGTGCAGGCTCTACACTGACCCCCATGCCCCCAGCCCCTCCACCAAGGGGACAGGAAGTTGAGGACGGCATCATGCTGCGAAACTCTTCTTTAAATATCGATGACCGTAGTGTGTCTGTACTTTAGTGAATTTTAATGGGAACTTACTGCGTAATAAGTCTGTTAATTACCAAAGGACAGGATACGTTTTACAAAATAAAAGTGATTATGATTCAGAGTCATTTTTCACCGCATGCCAAAACTTTTAATGTAAATTATTTCATCCTCAAATGATAGCCTGATTTTGCTGTGTGGTCAGATTAACATCAATCAACTTAAAAGTGAAAGGATGTTTCATGAATTAATTTAAAAATATTACCGTACGTGTTTTATTAGTGAATTAGGCTTTTAATTATGTATTTTAGAGACCGTTTTCAGATTTGCCAGAACTTAAGGAATAAAGTAGAAGTCTAAATAGGATAGTTTGTAAAAGCATAACTCGATATACAACGAACCAACACTGTAACCAGGAACAGGCGGCCTGGATAAGATGCCTTTGCTTTGAAACCATCCATCTCTCTTCTTTTGTTGTGTAGGGAGATCACGGGGGCCAAAAAACACTTCATTCTGCTCTCTTTTCCAACCCTGTAACATAGTTCTGCCAAAATGTATTAGGAAAATCTCCCTACTCTTTAGTGGTTGCAAGAGCATAGGGTAAGGGCACCGGTGTCTTTTCCTGACAGGCTTTGCCACTGTTAACTGCAGCAAGATGCCCGCAGTGGAGACTGCACAAGCCCTTCCATGTCCACTGGCCCCTGGCTTCTTTTGGAAAGAGCGGGGGGAGTGAAGCCTTTTCTCTCGTTTGACCCTTGGGATTCTCATCCTTATTGTATGTCCTTTGTGGGCATCGCAAGGTTGCTGTTGTGGTGGCTTTTTCACTATATTCACCTTTTAAGCCTTAAGTAAGGTTTCAGTGTGGCAAAAAAAAGGTTAATGTTTTGAAAAAATGTACACTGCATCACTGATAATAAAACAATATATTTGATCAGTGTTAAACTTCATAAATCTGATATTTCAGTCAAACTTTATAATATTTTATCCTTATAATTAATTTGGTAACTTCACTATTTCAAGAAGCTAGACTCTGTTAATTTGTTTAGATCTGATCTTTTGCTTAATGAGGTAAAATGCCGTCTGTTTTCCGTATAGATTCGAGTTCTGTGAGCCTGCATTTGTGGTTGGTAATTGTCTGCAGATAGCGTCAGACAGCCACCAGTATGACCGGGTCTACTGCGGGGCTGGAGTCCAGAAGGACCACGAACACTACATGAAGATACTGCTGAAAGTCGGGGGCATCCTGGTCATGCCTGTAGAAGACCAGGTAGCTTCCACTGTCCTTTCACTTGACGTAGGAGACGCACTTAGCGTAAGACGGGAAGCGTTACCTCAGTGAAAGGTACACTGTAAGTGTTAAGGAAGAAATAAACACTCTTCACAGATCTGTCTATAGAGGAGAACATTGAAACGGGCTCTTGACTATTAACCAAGGCAGGTGCGGAAAAGACCCGTTAACTAGGGTTAGGAGAGCCGCGCTGAGCTGCTCCCTGGTCCGGGTGAGGGGCGCGAGTGCCACTGAATGTGGTAACTGCTTCCAGCTGAACATATGAAAAGGAAATCCTGTTTGCGGTTTGGTTTGAACTGCTTAACTCCATTCCAGAAACGAGTAAATTTTTGGATCTTCTCTTAGTATATGTAGGCGCATTTGAAAGTATTTTTCACCTATTGTCTGCCTTTGGTTTGGAATTATTAGGTATAATAAGTGTATGAAATACTAATTTATTCAGAAACTGGGCGGCTCTTTTACTTTGAAATTTTATAAATATACATGGCAAAAAATATCTCTTACATTCATATTAACCTACATCTGAGATGTTTAAAGCACCTTGTGGTTTGTAAGTAGAAGATCGATTGTCCAAGATGACTGGGACATAGTGTGGTCGTTTTGGAGTTTGTGTATCTGAGGGTCCCCTAAGTTCACACATGTGATTTGCAGGTCAGAGGATTTCACCATCACCACGTACTGTGTGTGTCAGTTATTAGAAAGAATATAAAGCATTCATTAAAACACATTCTTGGAAAAATGTTACTTGAATGCTTCTGGAGTGTTGAGACTCCCAGATTAATCGTCTTTTTCTGTTTTCCTTTAAAGAGACGTTTTTAAACATTTAAAATATGGTTTCCCATTGGTATTTTATTGAATATTTATTATATACTATTGTACTAATGTAAAATATAATAGGCTGATTGCTATAATATAAATTGAAGATACTAATTCATCTTCCTTCAGTCATGTACTGAGCTAATATTTTTTCTCTAGAACTGATGGTGGGTATTTGCTGAGTGGGTAAAACTTCTCATCCCCTTGTGACTAATTACATATATCTATGAAATGTCAAGTTGGGATTAGAATTAGAATCTGTATTTTATAACCACCATGGAAGATCATGAAGTTGATTCGTTGGTACAGTAATGAAAACGTCTTTTTACTAATACAACACTTTAACCAAACAACTGAACCTGTGTGAGACGTGTGTTTTGGGGGCCAGTGGCAGGTGTGGGTTGGAAGAGTACCCCTAGAAGCCCTCAGACCCCAGATACAACCTGCAAAGTCATGCCTTTTGAGCTCAGGTGTCTGTCTTGAACAGCAAGTATTTGTAATTCCTCCTGTATCATTTTATGGTAAATATTTAAACGAAAGTAATTTGCTTGCATTCAGATACAAGTGATTATATAGCAATCACTGCTGTTATTCTGTTAAAACAAAATTGTGACTCTAAGGTGATCACACTTCCAAGATTAAGCCATTCTATTTCTTTTCTCCCTCTAAATAGTTAACACAAATTATGCGAACTGGACAAAACACTTGGGAAAGTAAAAACATCCTTGCTGTGTCATTTGCCCCACTTGTGCAGCCGAGCAAGAATGACAGTGGCAAACCGGACTCTGTGGGCCTCCGTAAGTAACCGCTGGGCCTTTCTGACTGGACTGTGGCTTATGTTGTTCAGCAGCTGTGCTTGGGATTAATGGACTGTGTTAATTATGAAGAGTTAAGTAAATAATGCAGTAATATATTCCATGGATTTATTTATTTATTTTTTTGGTAAAGCTCCTACCTTGCACCAGACCCTGTTAGCTGCCTTCATGGAGGCATGAAAAGAAGGGGCAGGTCAAATGAAAAGATGACTTTATTACTTACAGTTGTGAAATTATTAATTGTGGTAAATTTGTTGGCATCATTTTCCATACAGAGGGACAGCAGACACAAAAGCCTTTCTTTAGGCTGAAAAGAGCTTGCTCGTTCCAAGACCAGCAATAACTTTCAGGGTCGCTGAAGCTCCTCGGCTGGACTGCAGAGGACAGCTGATGGAGACTTTCCTTGTCCTCAAGGAGAGAGTCAGTGTTGATGGGGGTGGAGTTGTTTGAAGGTAGGAAAATGGTGGAGGAAAAAGAGGGCTCTAAAGTTTTACCCTGAGCCCCTCACTGAGTGATGGTACCATTTATTGCTGTTGAGGGTGAATAGCTTGGAAATCGGTGTAGGAAGATCAGAGACTTTTATTTTGGCTGGGCTTGAGTTTCCCATTAGGTAGGCATGTGGGTGTCACCCCGCTGCACGAGCTAGGAGGATAGGTGAGGAGTCGCTGGGACTGGGCCTGTGATCCACCAGGTCAGAGCTGGACCACGAGCAGAGGCAGGGCCGAGAAGTGGGGGGGACAGCAGTGTGCGGTGTGCGAGACCGGACTTTGGAGAAGGCGGGAGCGCTGAGCTCCCTGAGGGCTGCTGAGACCCTGAGGAAGAGCGGTGAGCGCGGCCGTGGTTGGCCCAGCGTGTATCATGGCTTTGGAGACCAGTAAGTAAAGTTCTTTGCCAATAATGAACTTTAGAACTTTACCATAGTAGACTTCTTGGTTTAATTTGCTTTCTAAATGAATTTATTTCATAGGAACCTGGGAGAGATTTCATTTTATTTTCAGGGTTATTTTACCCTCTTGCAACCCATGTGGTTTTGTGGTCTTTTGGGGTGTTTTATTTTATTTTATTTATTTACTTTTGGCTGCATTGGGTCTTTGTTGCTGCGCGCGGGCTTTCTCGAGTTGTGTTGAGCGGGGGCTACTCTTCTGTGCGGTGCGCGGGCTTCTCATCGTGGTGGCTTCTCTTTGTTGCAGAGCACGGGCTCTAGGTGCGTGGGCGTTAGTAGTTGTAGCATGTGGTGGCACGCAGGCTCTAGAGCGCAGGCTCAGTAGTTGCAGGCACGGGCTTAGTTGTTCCGCGGCATGTGGGATCTTCCCGGACCAGGGCTTGAACCCATGACCCCTGCATTGGCAGGAGGATTCTTAACCACCGTGCCACCAGGGAAGCCCTGGGGTGGTTTTGAGAATTAAATGAAGTAGTGTTTATAAAGTGCTTAGCGGGTAATAATGGCTTAGTAAAGAATAGTGTTGGGATTTTGGGAAGGTCAGTAAATTACACCCGTTTCCCCTGCTCAAGTTCTTACCAGTGGAGAGGTGGACTTGGGGACTAGGTAGCTAGGAATTGAAATGGAATAGGATGTGTGGAGAATAAGAACACGTTTGCTTTTCTGTTAAAATAAGTTAAAATAGGTTTCTGTGTAGAGAACATTATTTCATTAATTATAGGGAATAAAAATGTGAAAGAATGTTAGCACAAAAAAACCCTAAAAAATACATGTGCAAATCCTTTGCCAAATGTATTTTGTAGCTATGAAATTGCTCATATAAGCAGTTACTAAAATGTATTTATAACTTTTCCTCAGGTTCATCACAAATTTTTATTCAACTTAAAGTCATATTTCTTTCTTTGGTATAAGACATTATAAAAGTAAATTTCACAGCAGGCCCTTTAGAAGGGGTGAAGGAAAAACCCTACACCAACTAAAGGAAAGCTCTGTTTCCTTTATACACCACCTGCCGAATCCTCCTGTCATCCAGACCTGTGGGTTCTCCTCCCTGAGCAGTCCTGCAGTCTGCGGACCCCAGCGAGCTGGACTGGGGTCTGGTGCAGTTGCGGCGCTCGCCGGTGCTAGCACAGACCCCGCAGGCTGCAGGCTCTGTCCTCCTCCAGCTTCTCACAGGCTGCTTGTGAATCAGGTCCCCATGACCCCTCCTAGAGTTTGATAATTTGCTGGAGCGGCTCCCAGAATGCAGGAGCACAGATTAATCATTAGGTTGACTGGGGAAACAGCCAGATGGGAGTGATGCCCGGGGCGGGGGGTGTGGGCGGATGCGGACCTCCACGCCGTCCCTGCAAGCACCACCCTCCCAGCGCCTCCAGTTGTTCACCAGCCCAGAAGCTCTCCGAGCCCTTTCCATTAGGGGCTTATATGGAGGTTCGATTGATTAAATCATCGACTCTCGGTGACTAACTCAACCTCTAGCCCCTTTCCCGTCTCTGGAGGGGTAGCCTGAAAGTTCCATTTCTCTAATCCCATGGTTGGTGTGCCCGACAGCCAGCCTAGCACCTTGAAGGGCTTAGTGAAAGTCACCCCGTAACATCAAGTCACGTGTGGTTGAAGGGAGCCTCTCATGAACACTAAAAGGCACTGCTTTTCACTTTGATGCTCTCATCGCTTAGGAAATTCCACGTGTTTTAGGAGCTCTGTGTCAGGAAGGGGAAGCCAAATGTACATTTCTTCTTATAAATCTCAGTATCACAGAGGTCAGGAGATTTCATGAACTGTTGAACTGCACCACACTGAGCCATACGAAGTTGCGGTTTTGTAGGTTAAAAATGGGGTTTGACCTAAATCCAGTGCCCTTTTCAGTCTTACTTAACAAATAAAAATGAAAGTGCTGACTGCTAGGTTCCTATAAAATCTACATAGAGACCACCTTTTGGGAAACAAATAGAGCTGACGTGTGTGTTAGAGATAACCTTCATTGTAGTTTTGGCCTGAAAGCTTCAATTCACAGTAAAATTTTATAGCAGTCAGGACTAGTGTTGTCTGTCCGGTCCATTGAATCCTTCTTGTGACTAGAAGCATTAGGAACAAGGAGGGTTGCAGTGCAGAAAATACTGGGATTTTTGAATAAGTAGGGCTGAGAATTGTCTAAAAGTGTTCGTATTATCAGAAAAACGTTTAAATGAGGCTCTTGTGGGTGCTACTTTAGGACCTGTGAGTGTTAGAAGCGACTGAATGGAGCCAGGTCTGAATCCTTTCCCAGTCCGGGTCCGGTCGGTGCTTCTGAAGTCGGGCTGCCCCGGCAGTCGTCGTGGTGATCGTGTCCCTGGAGGAGCAGGCAGTGCTGGCGGAGGAGGAGGACAGTGGACGTGTTGGGAGAGCGCCCGGGGTGTGGGCGGGTCACACCCACAGGGACGGCCGAGAAGTCTAAGTACTCCTTCTCTTCTTTGTAGCTTCTGAAGCTCTATCCCCACTTGTTCTCTACCCCGCTTCCTGCAGTGGTCCCTTGACCTCTGGCCTCCCTCCCGCCGGCGCCCCCCGCGGGGGCCGTCCTGGCCTTTGGGGCTGATGACCCCATGACTCCCGTCTGCAGCCGGGCCTTGCCCCGAGCCCGGCGCTGGAGGAACTGCCGCGGCTGGAAAGGGCCGGCACGTCGCGTGGCCTCTGGGCCCCGAGCACCTTGCCGGCCCCTCCCCGCTTCCCTCGCCCGGCACTGACGGGCTGCCCCGTGTGAAAGGCCCACGGGGTGGTGGCAGCGCCCAGACCTCCATTTAGGACACACAGCGCGAGCAAAGCAAATCTTTATCTTCTCCTCCCCGAACTGTGCTTTCTCTTTGTCATGTGGGTAATCAGCATTACATCTGCCTCGCCGCTCGGGCCAAGACTCCGCGTCCAGTCCGCGTCCAGTCCCCGTCCGTCCTGTCTTCACAGCAGAACTCAGGCTTATCCCCTCTCTCCGCCCCAGCGTGGTCCTGTCTCATGCCGGCCCTTGGCACGCCCGCTCCTTCCCTTGCCAGCTGCCACCCCACAGAGGGGCCGGGCCGTGCTCTTCCATTTTGGGTTTCAGTAGAAGAGTCTGAAGAAGAGGTTTTGTAGCAGGCCAGGAAGTATGTGCTAAGGGATCTTGGAATTGGTCTAAAATGCCTCCTGCCTGGAGTTTTATGAAAGACCACATCTCCCGCTGCAGGATGTGCCCAGCTTGTGACTGGGCAGAGCCCCGGGCACTAGGGCAGGAGGGAAGCACCCAGGACAGGATGTGTACCCTCAGGCCCTTTGTGGGGGGGTGAGGAAGGGCCCCAGGCCTCTTTCCTACCCCCCGCCCCCAAGGGCTCACAGCTGAGGGCAAAGAGCGGCCACATACACATTCGGATAAGTGACATGATCACAGGAAGGTTGGGAAGGAGGTAGCTAAGAACAAGTACCAAAAGTAAGGGGAGAAGTGATGAAGGCTTTCTTGTGCTGTTGAACTGAGGAGGGCTGTGTTTTGTTTTGTTAGGTATTTGAGAAGAATCCTTGATAAGGGTTTTATTCCCACAGGGGTGGAAACTAGGAAAAACGGATTTCTGGTGGGGACCTGAGAATTTTCTTTGTCTGGGTGCAATGCACTGGAGGAGGCCACCAAGAGGGGCGTGTGGCGCTAGGCCTTAACACCTGCGCGCTGGTGGGAGGCAGGAGTGAAGCAGACAGGGCCTGTTCCGACTCTCCCCGTGTGCTAGATAGAAGCGAGCGTCAGCAGCTTAGGTCTGTGGTGTTTCGGGGCTGCTAAAGTGTGCGCCATGATTTCTGGGGGCCCTTTACCTGTGAACCAGTTCTGCCTGTTGATTTACAGAAAGATGGAAACTGCGTGTGCATGCGTGTAATAGTTTAGAGCTCAGACTGAGGCAGCTGTTCAAACAGTGCCTTCATTTGAGGTTTTTAAACAGGTCCTTTACATGCTTTTCAACATCAGAAAGTACAGAAAATGTGTAGGGTAAAAGCTCTTCTATTCTTGTCCCCTAACTGCTTAATTCACATGCGCTCCAGCTGTTGTAAGTTATTTATCCTCCCCGAGAGGGTTTATGCTCATACCTGGGGATGCGCACACGTCCGTACACACAGACCCCGGTGCCGTCCGCTGTCCTCAGTACTGCAGTGGTCTGGCACATAGTAGGCGCGCTTCCTAAAATCTGTGTTAGATGAACGTCAGTTTTTTATGTCCTGTCTCCTAATATTCACTAAGAAGTGAACAGTATATAACGTTGTACTTTTTATGTTTTTCGTGTGTTTTTAGCCCCCTGTGCTGTCAGGAATCTGCAGGACTTGGCTCGTATTTACATTCGACGCACACTTAGAAGTTTCATACACGATGAGATGCAGGCCAAGGGCGTTCCTCAGAGGGCTCCGCCCAGAAGGAAAAGGAAGAGGGCCAAGCAGAGGATTAACACTTACGTCTTTGTGGGGAATCAGCTCATCCCTCAGCCTCTGGACAGCGAGGAGGAGGAGAAGATGGAAGAGGATAACGCGGGGGAGGAGACGGGCCGCGGTGCCGCCCGCGAGCAGGAGACGCCGCCCCAGAACTTGCTGAGGGAGAAGATCATGAGGCTCCCCCTGCCCGAGGCTCTAAAAGCCTACTTGACGTACTTTAGGGAGAAGTAACTTAGAGCAAGAAGAAAGAATGCCTACTGATAATTCCTTTAGTCTTGAAAATGTAGCATTTGTTAGAAGTTAAAAGAGAATTCTTTCTTTCATCAGAGTGAATTTTTAGTGGAAAAAGTATAACTTGTTTCTGTCTTGGTAATAAAAATGATGTATTCTGTGATTAAAAAGAATCCCTTTTATAAAATATATTTTTCTTTAAATCTTGTTAAAATTGCTGTTTTAACTTGGAGCGACTTCAAGAGTGGAATGTAACAGTAGTCAAGACTGGGTCCTTCAGACCCTCATCTGGTTCCTTACAGACTAGTAGTGGTGAGGGTTGGATTTAATCTTCCATAAGGTGAAATAATCAGGAAGCATATGTAGTCTGATTCCAATTGCAGCCATTTGCATTTCCTCCATGAAACCTTTATCTAACAAGGAAATCAGAAGCTTTGTGTGTTGCAGTCACTATTGCTGAGTTGCTGTAGGTCTGTTCCGGGCAATGTATGAGTGCAATAACAATGCAGATACGGAGTAACGTAGCTTTAAAAAGCCTCCTTTCAGGGAGTTCAACAGCACTGCTACTCTTGCTCTTGAATCTGTTGCCAAAAGACATGGGGAAAACATCTGCTTCTCTCATAGAGATTTTAGGAGCGCGTCAGGTGAATATTAAAATAAAACGTATGTACTTAATACAACTCTTAGTTTGGGTGGACCCTTTACATTTCCAGTATTTAAAAATGATGAGGTTATCTTACTCTGAAGATTTAGAAGATAGTATATTTAGGACGGTTTTCCCTGTAGTCCACTGTATAAAGTATTTGCTTTAAGAGAGTCCGTTGTTCTACGCGACTGTTGATGGCTCATCGGTGAATCGGCCTGAGCGGGCTGGTCACAGGTGCACTTTAGCAAAGGAAACTCCTGGTTCATTGGCAGGTTCATCCTTGACAAGCAGGGCTGCGCCAGCCTGCATTTGCTTTGAAATTCATCCTTGTAGCATAGGAAGTATTCACAGAAATTATATGTAGATGACCTTTTCTTTGAAAATTCGGAATCATAGTGTAATCTTTGGGACCTACACTGGGCTCATTTAATTTCTTCCCATGTTTTTATTTTGTTCTTGTTTCTTGTGGTAAAGTAACAGTGATTTTCATTTTTTTGATTAATACCCCATACTACTGTGTTCATTATTTGAATGTCAGTAGTGAAACAGGTGGTAAATGCCATTATTAGTGTGTTTCTTTTCTTCCTACTAGGGCCTGAAGAGTCATGCCTTGTTTAAGAAAGTATACAGTGTAGCATATTTACTATTTAGTGTTCCGTGGATTATATATTTTTTAGAAGGAAAAATTTGAGAGTATCACTTATCACCACCAGCATCACTGTTACAACTGTTGAACAAGTATGCTTGAGGAAACGCAATCGATGTGTAGTGGAAGGATTATTATGTCTCTGCAAAGATTCAACCGTTAGATGAATGGTTTAAAAAAATCTCAGCTCTGGTAATTCCGCACATCTAAAAACAACTGTTTGAAATAGTCTAAGCATGAATCACCCCAGGTAAATCAGGATATTTTAGTAATGTGAAAGATAATTTCGTGGAAGCTGTTCGTTTTTTACCATTGACTGGGCTTGGGCGTTGGGGGTATCTCCACAATTTTTCTTAGGCGATTACTAAGCTGTTATTGTTAAGAAATGCCCCATTCATTTCTATCAAGGAAAAAAAAATAGTTTCATACTATTGTCACGTTAGAAATGTTCCTTTTATTTTGAAATCAGTGTCCATTTTAGAAGTTTAATTTTGGGTTCCTGGTGCCCACATATTTTTTATCTAGCCGCCCCCCCACCAGCTTTGTTGTTTTCGGGGCAAGTGTTCAGATAACGTCAACACGACGTTTTCTTAAATCGTGGTGTTAACTATTCATGAGGGACGTTTTTGTTAAGGATATATTTGAAGATGGAGCTTTTCATATCAGCTTTTATTCTGTTGGCTTTGGCAAAATGTACAGTAGGTTTTCATAATCATCGCCTATTTTTTGTCATTGAAATGTATCTTTTGTGTTTTTAAATGCATTTATTTCACAGTTGTGACTTTACTATTGACTTTAAATAAAGAAGTAGAAATAAAGAATGAAATTTTAAGCGAAAGCCCTTTTATCTATTAATGGGAATATATTAGAATGATTAAGAATATTTTGGGTGTTTATTTTTTAATGAATCATGTTATATTTGAGTGTGGATAATTATGCTTTATAGGTGGAGAGGTAGCAAATAAAGATGAAGTAATTGAAAATGATGAGCAGTGTATTCATGGGATTTTACAGTGGGGTAATTATTTGTTTTGCGGAGAGAAAGTAGGCCTAGGGAGGGAGCACGACGACTTCCCCCCTCAGTCAGATTGCTGCTTGGAGATGGCTTGAAATAGCACCCAGGATCTGATAGAGCCCGAGAAACTGCCGGCAACACCATTAACTACCAGGAACATCGTTTAAATCTGTACTGCTTATTGGTCCATATATCTGGTTCTAGTACTAATGAAGAAAAATGTCATTAAGATAGCACACATAGTAGTTAAAATACAAAATGTGGAAGTGTTGGTTTCCAGCTGTTTGAGAGGACAAAAGTGAAGCAAAACCTGTTAATTCATGGGAAAACTTGGAAAATTATTTTAAATAAACAGTTGCATATAATTAAGCATCGTTCTCCAGTGGCCTGCCTTTTTTCTCTTAGAAAATGTCAGTACACCTATGGATATATGCTGAATTACGGTATAGAATTGTCTGTATTTGGACATCTCATTTCCTTTTGACTGTTGCCACCTCTGAAGGGTGTAGGGTTTTAAAAAATTTATTTTTATGGGGCTTCCCTGGTGGCGCAGTGGTTGAGAGTCCGCCTGCCGATGCAGGGGACACGGGTTCGTGCCCCGGTCCGGGAAGATCCCACATGCCGCGGAGCGGCTGGCCCCGTGAGCCGTGGCCACTGAGCCTGCGCGTCCGGAGCCTGTGCTCCGCAACGGGAGAGAGGCCACAACAGTGAGAGACCCGCGTACCGCAAAAAAACAAAACAACAACAACAAAAAATTTATTTTTATGAACTATTCAAGTAGATACGAAGGATATTTATAAGATGCTTGGAAAGTCCAAGGAATGAGTGTTCATGTACGTACATGTGAGTACGAACCATGAGGCTTGACTGACAGCACTACCGTTACCTGTGTGTGCCCCTCTTCCCCGCTCATCTTAGCCCCCCTCTCAGGGTGCCCGTTTGTGACGGTCACACCTGGCTTTTTGCCGCGGTTTTACACATACGCTCGTATCTCCAAGCGGTATGAGTGGAATCACCCCTGTTCATTCCTGTGCACCTACTTTTCACTGCACGTTGTCTTTCTGAGGCTGGTCCCTGTTGTCTGTAGTGATGCTAGATTCCCACATTCCCACTTTTTTGTTCATTATTTCTTCTTGACTCTTAGATCATCTCAATTTTCTTTTGCCTAAAGTACATCTTTTAAAATTTCTTTTGGTGAAAGACCCTGGGTAGCTAGCTCTTAGTTTTGTCTGTCTGAAAAAAATTTATCTTTGTTCTTGAAAAATATGACTAATTTTAGGATGACAGTATTTTTCTCTAAAACAATGGAGTTACTTCTCTACATTCTGGCTTTCATTGTAGCTGTTGAGAAGTTCACTGATAGCCATTTCTTTGAAGGTTATCTTTTATCTCTGTTTTTACAGTTTTGTCCTGACATTGTTAATACTCTTGCCTTGGCATTGTTGATTTTCTGTAGTTTCATATAATGTGCTAGGTGTTAATTTTTATCTTTAATCCTACCTGGTATTTGTTTTATAGGTGTGTGGATTGGCCTCTTTGATCAGCTCTGGAAATTCTTGGCCATTTTCTTTTCTTACAGACATTGCCTCAACTTTTTGCCTCTCAGCATTGGATTCTAAATAATTTATTCAAATATATCTTCCAACCACTAATTCTGTCTTCACTTGCTTTAAGTCTGCTGTTAAACCCTTACACTGAGTTTTAATGTCTGTTAAATTTTCTAGTTCTGCTTTAAAAAAATTTTTAAAAAATAATTTCCTGCTCTTTATTAATACGTTCAATTCGGTAAGCACACTGAACCTGTTTTCTATTCCATATCTGATTCCAGTATCTGAACTCTGTGGTGGGCTTCTGCTTAGGATGTCTCTGAGGGCTAGCTGTGACGACCCCGTTTCTCTTGTGCTTTGTGGGCTTTGACTGAGCGTGTGGAACTCTATCTGTGAGAGTTTATTAGAGGCTTTGCCAGAAGCACTGCTGGCTCACGGCCTCTTTAAACTAAGTCCTGGGTTTAAGGGTTTCACACCACTCAGGGAGAGGGGCCTGGACATCCACGGGAAAGCTAAGCTGGGGACGTTACATCTTCGGGGAGGTTTTACTCCCTCCTCATAGCAAGTTTTGAAATAGGCAGTTTTCTCTGCGTTCTCTGGGGGAAGGAGGGGATAAGGTGGATTATTTCTAGTTCTCCTTAATGAACTTTATGGGGACGTGGAGATTCCAGTGAAGCCCTCCCCATTTAGGAAGGGGCTTTTCCCCTTCTTCCTGTAAGCTTGCTGCCCCAAATCTGAAGTTAATGTCGCAAAGTTAAGCAAATACTCCAGCTGAATGAGACTCCAGTGTTCACGTACCTTGCTGGCTTCCCTTTTCACTTTGTTTTTGGACCCTTGTATATGTCTTACTAACTTGCTCACTCAGCACACTGATGCCTTTTTAAAAAAAAAATGTTTCTAATGCTTTATCTAGCACACACAGTTTTCTGCTGGAGAGTTTCCTAAGGCCTGCAAGGAAAGGTCCCACAGCCACGATGAGGCTGGTATTCATGTGCTCCTCTGGGCCTTGCAGTTCTTAGCCTTATACTCATGGAAGGTAACAGTAGGGTGTTCTTTTTCATTGACTGTCAAGATTTTAAAAGTAGAAGGTTTTTAGTCTTTCCTTCCAGAAAAATGCCCTACGAATATAATGTAATATTTATTATATTGAATATTTTGAACTGAAAACGACGCACAAACCCGCATGTCTTGTCCGAGTTCTCCAAATTGCAAACATCACCAAGAGCGTCGGAATTGTTAGCGGTGGGCCTGAAAGGACGAAGGTGGCTTTTTCGTTTATTGATATAGACAATAAGAGACACACGAACGATGTCAAGCATAGTTCAAGTTTATTTTAAAATCATTCTTGTTCATGGAGATTTGAGTTTTTTCTTCTGATTTTTGTATTAAAAAAACCCAAAACCCCACATATTTAAAAGTTGGAACATTCTGCCAATAGAGGGCAGTGTTCACCTACAGTAGAATGTAAAGGAACGAAGAATTGCTGAGAGGAGAATGAATTTGTTTCTTCTTTATACTCATAAGGTTGATAAAATTTGACAAAACGTTCTCCACTCACTACCTCTGTCTCGCAGCCTGGTCATCTGGAGTTGCTGCCTAAATTAACCATCCAAGTTTCACTTTGTTTTTCTGTTTTGCATTTTTTAAAGTCCTATTTTAGGGATGAGCTTTGTTTGAAAGTTTCAGTCTTTAAAGATAAAACCAAAACCTTAAATACCTGCTTACAGAGTGCCCAAAAAGTACACGTTGAACTGCAAGACATACTTGTGGCAGAAGTCTTCTGTTTCCAGCGGTGTCGCCGGGAGAGGGCCTCCCGCCCCCGGGCACCTAGAGGGTGAGAGGCGGGTCTGCAGCCGCCGGGGCGGCGGGTCCTGGAGGCTCATCGGTGCCACTTCACGTGCTCACACGCGTGACCGTGGGTGCGTCTGCTCCAGGGCCGGGCGTGGGCGCTAAACACTCAGTGTTAAAGGAAGAAACCAGAAGCAGCTGGTGGGACTCTCTTATTAGTGCAGCGCTTTGGGTTTCAGGAGTGGAATAATACAGTTCGGAGTAGGGAGTATGTGTCCCTGGGTCAGCCAATTATTACTGCGCTCGCCCTTCAGGGTTTGGAAGTGTTACCGGATAAAAAGAAAAGCTGTCCTGCGTGGATGCAATAAATAATGAACCAACGTGAGCTGCCGAAGCCCGGCCGGGGGCTGAGAGGCTGGGCTCACGGAAACAGTGGAGCGACGCGCCAAGAGGAGGTGCCTTTGCCGGGCGGCTTTGGCGCTGACGGGCCCTCTTCCCCGCGGCGCACCCCGCCCCGCCTCCTGGCCCGCCCCGCCTCCTGGCCCAGCCCCGCGCCCCCCCCGCCCCCGCGCTCCCCCCCTCCCCCGCGGCGTGCGCCCTCTACCCGCCGCGCCTCTGTCCCCCCAGGTCCCGCCCCCGCTCGGGTCGTCGGAGCAGAGTCCTCACTTTTCCGCAACCCCAGGCTTCGGCGCTTAGACTGGAAAGCGCGAGCCCTGAAGCGGTGAAAGGAACGGGTCTCCTAGCATCTTCCAGAACTTACCACAGAGAATTCCCATCTTCATTCCTTGGGTAATTTGCCTGCATAGAGTCCCAGTTTAACCCCTTTATCGTCGCCCCCCACCCCCAAATCTTCCCTTCCCTGAATTGGGTGAAGCAGCCGCCCACGCCGCGTGCCCCCGCTCCCGGCTGGGCCTCCCCGCGCCGTGCGGTGGGCGTTGCTCCCGGGTACCCAGAGCAGCCGGGAGCGCGGGGCGGAGGCCCGGGCGAGCAAGCAGGTCGGCGCCCGGGAGACCACGCCGGAGTGGGCGGGCAGATGGGCCTGGGTGCTCACCCGCCGTCCTCGCCTTCCGTGTGGGGAGAGAAACCGCATCACTGAGCTGCCCTTCGGGTCGCACAGTGTGTGGAGTGCGCACCCTTCTCACCGTGGTGCTCAGGCTTTACGCCCCAAGAGGAGAAGAGGAGAAGTGCCTCCAGGACGAGGCGGTTGGAAGGGCCCAGCGTCCCCGGTAAAGTGTCTGCCGGTCGTGGCGGGTGCGCGCGGGAGAGAGCCGCCTGCCCCGTTCGGGTGCATCCCTGGGCGGGTGAGTCTCACTCTCCCCGAGTGAGACTCTGGGAATTTTGAGCAAGAGGTAGGACGAGCAGCGCCGGGTCACTTTTCGTCATAATCGTGAAATGAGGATCTAGCTGGGTAATGAGAGTTCAAGCTGGTGGTTGGTCGTTGCACATAAGCCCACTTATATTCGGCCCAGAGTAATTTTTGTTAAGCATCTTAATTTTATGTGCTCATGAATACGAAAAACAGCCTTACTGTAAAAACCCACAAGACGCATTCTTGAGCCCGGGGCCGCTTCTCGTGTGGTGGCCAGAGGGCAGGGCGAGCGGGGCCTTTGGCCTTGAACCTTGCCTGTGTCGTGTTGCGGCGTCAGTTTCTGCAGAAGCCCCAGCGCCAGGCACAGGGCGGCCTGTCCGTCAGGTGCAAGGTCGGCGGTCGGCCCGTGCCGGACACCCTCTCCTGGAGGCCCTGAGCGGAAGGGAGAGGGCGTTGTCCTTGCAGCTGTGCAGAGCCTTCCTCGGCTGGAGAATGACGCCCAGTGGCTGGACCCTCAGGACCCCAGCCGGGCCCCCTGCGAGTTCCCAGCTTCCTGGGGTCTCGGTTTCTTAGTCTGTAAAATGGGGATGCTAGCGGTTTTCGCCCCCTGGCGTTATTCTCAGATGACATGAACTCGTGCGCGTTACACGCTTAGGAGAGGATCTGGTTCTGCCCAGCGCTATGGAAGGGTTTGCAGTGACTACTGTTTACGGCTCAGGGCATGAACTTTGGACTCATATACCTACAGGAAGCTGGCTGGCAGGGTCCTCTGAGGGGAGCAGCGGGGGGGGGGGGGGCGAAAGACGACCTGCCCTTAGTAGAGTGATGGGCAGCGACTGACCTGCAGCTGGAGTCCTGGGGAGCGGGGACAGCCCGGGGACAGCCAGCTCCTGAGTGGGTGCTGCCCTCAGGGCTTGGGGCCCATTGATAATGAGCTGGCTGTAGTTTTCAAGAAAATATGGAAGTCAAAAGTGAAATTCCCTGATTTTTATTTTTAAAAAATTTTTTTGGCCAAGCGACACGTCTTGCAGGTATGTTAGTTCCCCAACCAGGGATGGAACCTGGGCGCTAGGCAGTGAAAGCGTGGAGTCCTAACCACTGGACTGCCAGGAAGTTCCCTCCCTGACTTTTATTTTTATTTATTTATTCAAAAAAACATTTATTTATTTGGCTGCGCCAGGTCTTAATTGCGGCACACGGCATCTTCGTTTCTGCATGCGGGATCTAGTTCCCTGACCAGGGATCAAACCTGGGTCCCCTGCATTGAGAGCGCAGTCTTACCCACTGGACCACCAGGGAAGTCCCCCTGACTTTTCAATATTAGCAGCTAATTAAACAGTTTTTCAAAGTGAAAGCCTCGACCACGTGTATTTGCAGGTTGCTTTCAGCCCAGAACCTTCAGTTTTTGACCCGTATTGGAGACAGGGTATGAAAGCCGAGAGAAATATATGCAAAGTCTGTACAGATTGGTCCTCTACTTCTTTGGGGCCAAAAATCTTTGACATAGGATTACATTTTCATGCCAGCAATATCATGAAGGACCACAACTAACTGATTAAGATGAAAATTCTGAAAAAGAAAAGGCAGATCAGCCTTTGAAAGCAAAGGCGTATGGGGCCTGGCTCAGTTTCTCCCTAACAGCAGAATTAAGTTTTTGTTAAAGCACATTTAAATATATGTGTATTGTCACATAACAGTGGAAACAGTGTAAAGAACACATTTAACACTATAAATGGCCAAAGTGCTAGTAAGTGTTAATTTGTAGTATTGTTATATTGATACTTTCCTTGATTTTTTTTCTTTCCATGTTTTTAGAATTTTAACCTTAATGTAGAAAATATTTTTCTTAACCATAGATAAAAAACTTCACTATATTTAAAGATTATGGTTAATCAGGGCTTTAAGATTAGAAAAATGCAAAGCTATTCCCTTCCTCAATTTTAATTTGATTCCATCTATAAAGATATCAAAGCACATATCGTTTACCAAATATTCTATTACCATTTTGAAACTCTCAGGACTTCCCTGGTGGTGCAGTGGTTAAGAATCTGCCTGCCAATGCAGGGGACACGGGTTCGAGCCCTGGTCCGGGAAGATCCCACATGCCGTGGAGCAACTAAGCCCGCGAGCCACAACTACTGAGCCCAGGCGCCGCAACTACAAAAGCCCGCGTGTCTAGAGCCCGTGTTCCATAACAAGAGAAGCCACCGTAATGAGAAGCCCACGTACCACAACGAAGAGTAGCCCCTGCTCGCCGCAACTAGAGAAAGCCCACACGCAGCAACGAGGACCCAATGCAGCCAGAAGTAAAAATTAAAAAAAAAAAAAAAAAATTGGACCACTACTGGAAATTGTGTAAATCGTATACCCTTAGTGGAAGGACTTTTCAATGTGAAAGTTTCAAGATACTCTGTTTCTTAGCAGAAAGTTGAATTTGACGAATGGTAAATAAAGGTAACCAATCAGGTAAAACTATAGCAAAGTGCTCTGTTACACCTGACTTCCAAGAGGAGCCCCAGGGCAGAATGCAGGCTGGAAGGGACCTTGGAGGACTGGCCAGGTCTGCCCCAGGGGCGTCTGGTCTCCCCCGAGGGTCCCCGTTCTCCACCACATCCCTTCGTAGTCTTGGGTTCGGCAATGGATGCTTGGATACTGTGCACCAAAAGCACACTGACAAAAGAAAAAATAGATAAATTGTTCTTCATCAAAATCAACAACTTTTGCACTTCAAAGGACACCATCAAAAAAGTAATAAGACAGAATGGGAGAAAAATTTCAAATCATGTATGAGAACCCTTTTACCTCAACAATTTAAAAAACCACATAAACCCAGTCAAAATTGAGCAAAGTATTTGAAGAGCTATTTTTTAAAAGAAGGTACACAAATGGCAAATAAAACCCATCCGGAGATGCTCAACATCATTAGTAATTAATGAAATGCAAATCCAGAATGAGCTACAACTTTAACTCTTGAGAATGGCAAAATAAAAATGACAGATGATAACGTGTCAGCAAGGATGTGGAGAAACACTGCTGATGGAATTGTGAAACAGAGCCCGTTGGAGGACAGCTTGGCAATTCCTCAAAACCTTAAACGTAAAATTACCGTATGACCCAGCAATTCTGGTCCAAGAAAAACGAAAACATGATATTGATTCTTCCAATCCAAGAACATGGAATATCTCTCCATCTGTTGGTGTCACCTTTGATTTCTTTCATCAATGTTTTCTTTAAAAAAATTAATTTATTAATTTTTGGCTGCGCTGGGTCTTTGTTGCTGTGCGCAGGCTTTCTCTAGTTGCGGTGAGCGGGGGCTACTCTTTGTTGCGGTCCGCGGGCTTCTCATTGCGGTGGCTTCCCTTGTTGCAGAGCACGGGCTCTAGGCGCTCGGTCTTCTCACTGTGGTGGCTTCTCTTGTTGTGGAGCACGGGCTCTAGGCATGCGGGCTCAGTAGTTGTGGCTTGCGGGCTTAGTTGCTCCGTGGCATGTGGGATCTCCCCGGACCAGGGCTCTAACCCGTGTCCCCTGCGTTGGCAGGCGGATTCTTAACCACTGCACCACCACGGAAGTCCCTTTAGCAGTATTTTTAAGTGGAGAATTGATCTATAAATAATTCCTGCCTACAGAGAATTTTCCAGTCTATTTCCCTCTCTCCTTCCTACAAATATTCATGGAGTGCCTATTTTATACTAATAGCTAAAAAAAAAAAAAAAAAAAAAGCTATATTTTGCTTCTTGGTCCTTCCCTCTGGCTCTTATACCAAAAATGGGAACATAGATAATAAAGAAAAAAGTCCCCAACCCCCCAAATATATAGAGTGCAAATTCTCAGATGTCCTATGTAGGAAACTGTGCAGGGATGGAACATTGCCAGCAGGGGTGGGTGTGGGGAGAGCTTACTTAGAAGCATCAGGGCTGGCCTGCCTGAGAAGGGGGTTGAAACCTACAGAATGAGGAGACAGCCATTCAAAGAACTTCCAAGCAGAGGAGTGAAGTCTAAGGCTGAGTAGATTTTGGCTCTTAGAGAAGCTGAAAGAAGGGCAGTGGGGCTTCGTGGCTGGAAGGAGAGTGTCTCAAGACATCGAGTAGAGGAAGCGAGTAGAGGAGAACCTCCTTCAGCCAAGCCTGGGCAGGCGAGCAGCCCCTGGGCCTCTGTCCCTGGGAGCCAGGGTTTGGTGCTGGCAGGGTGCACCCAAAACCCGAACGTCTGCTCTTGTGGCCATCACCATCACGTGGCCATCACGTGGCCATCACGAGGACCATCTTCTGTGGTCCCAGAAGATGCTTCCCCTCATCTCCTGCCCTAATGCCTCAAAACAAAAGGGGATGTTACCTCTCCAAAGGCTGCCGGGACTTTTGGGAGATACTGGTGCTAACCCTGGAGCAGAGAGGCGATTTGAGCTGTAGGAACATGTAGGTAAGAGAGAACACAAATACGCTACCTTGTCACATCCCTCCATTCACAATAGCATGACAGCCAT